ACTTATTAGACTGAGAACTTTGGAAAGTTATCCATGGAAAATTTTATTTTTATCTGAAAAAAATTGTCTTTAGTATGAAGCAAACTGCATGAGGTTCACTTTGTGTAGAATATGATAGAAATCTCTCTAAAGCTTTTTATCATATTTGAGACAAAATAAAGGTTAATGTCTTCACCATCAGAGGGCTCTTTCAGTCTCTAACCTCTCTTCTAACTTTGCTGGGGTTCTTTTCTGTATTCAATAACATTTACTTTAGTTTATATGAAGGATTGCGTGTCTGACCCGGGAAGTTTGATGATAGATTCAATCTCTTTTTGTTGTTTTTTTACTGCTCAGCCTGACAACATAATGTTTGGAAAAGATGGCAAGGTGAAGATTGGAGACTTCGGTCTCATCACTATTGACCAAAGTGAGGAACTGATGGAACGAACGAAAGACATTGGAACAGAAACCTACATGGCTCCTGAACAGGTCAGTTAAACGATGTGCTGAAAGCTGGCACAGAGGTTGATTTTAGTATTTAGAAAAAGAAAAACCAAAATATCTTTTACAAGTTCAGAAAAGTTTGTATTTGAAGTCACCAGTCTGTAACGGGGTCATTCTAGTGATTATTTAGGTTAAAGAGCTGAAACATATTGCTATAAAATACAAACAAAATAAACATCTCTATCAGTTGTATAGATCATGTTGGCAAATTAACTCTACTTTAATATATATTTCATATACAATTATTATACTCAATATATCTTAATCTGATTTCTCAACTATATTTATCACACTAAATGAAACTGAGGGTTCTGTTTATGTAAAATCACCAACGCTCAAAATCACTACAATCCGCAATGTCATTTTTAAATAGGTCACAGAAAATATCAGCTCATTTCTGTCTATCTTTCTTGTAGGAAAAAATGCACAAAACTTAACTTATAATCTATAAGCTTTAAAAAAAAGAAATAATCTACTGTCCCCACCACATTTGACAATGATGAACCAGCACTGACATACACCCAGTCAAAACGAACTTGCTTATGTCTACATATGCACTCATGCACATGAAAAAGGACACAAAAAATGCTTTACTTTTCATTTATTCGTACTGTAAGCCAGGAGTTTAGGGGGATTTTCTGCTTTCTTTCATCAACAGCACATTAGTACCCTGTAATAAGCAGCCTATCTTCACAAAAAATGGATGGTCAAAAAAGGCTGTTTGGAGTACCCTTCAGAAAGATTGCTCTGATTTAAAGTTGACCTGTTAGATGAGTTTGATTTCATCACAAAACATTTTATTTATTTTTTATTATAATTTTTTTTACAGAATACTAGCAGATATGATCGTAAGGTGGACATGTTTGCTTTGGGACTGATCTTCTTTGAGCTGCTTTGGAAAATGTCACTTGGCCATGAAAGATCAGTGGTGAGTCATTTATAAAGAGATCAATTGCAAATCTAAATTTAAAAATTACTTAAAATGTGGTTTAACTCATTTTTTACACTTTTCCTTTCAAATATAACACAGAAATGGTCGGATTTCTTATTAATTCTTGTATTATTTTATATTTTCATGGACCATTAGCTTCTGAGAAATGCAAAAAAAAAGTCGCTACCCGAAGACTTTTCTCAGACTTTTCCTTTTGAGGTAAATATAATTTTCAATCTGTGCTAATTTATGTAAAAAATGCTCATTATTAGAAAATATTAATTATTATTATTGTCCTTATTTTTTTCAGTGCAAAATAATCAAATCTTTGCTCTGCGAGGACCCAAATGAGCGACTTGAAGCAAGCCAGGTGACGGATAAATTGGAAGAATTAGGCCAACCACATCCGTACCTGGAGAATCACAGTGTCTAAATATCTGGAATTTAGTTAGGCAGATGGAAGAGATGCTCTATTTTTCCATGATCTGCAAGCAAAGTCAACATGCAACAGTCAAGTTGTATGATGCATGTCAACACTTTTCTGTCATTTTTCTTCTTAAGCAATGCAAAGGGGGAAAAACTTCAGACCAGAAAATGGAAAATTTTCTTCTATTAGGATTTTCAAATGTGTCTAACATTACAATTTGAATCATGCCTGATCTAAATAACCATGCTATGGGTGATGTTGATTTAATAACTGCTTTTTATTTTTAACTGCAAATGGTTCAGCTTTGTTAACTGTGTTCCTCAAATCAATTGTTTATCTCTTGGTGGTACTGTGATCACACAGAAGGGATAAGAATCAAGACTTCTTGGGTGTTGGATGCCAGAAAGCAAGCTGTGGATTTGATAAATCTTTAGACCTCTGAAAAGCACATTGTGTCTTAAGTGAATTTGTCAACATTATACAACTTAATGTCATGTAAAATAATACAACCAGCTGCTCTTTTTTTTAATGTACGGAAAAACCATTCCATCAAAATGTGTATATTGAATCTTGTATATTGAGCCGGAAAAGGGTAGGGTGCCTTCTCCGGGTCAGGAGGGAAGTCCTAGACCAATCGGATGAGTTTAAGTATCTTAGGGTATGTTCACGAATGAGGGAATGATGGAGCGCGAGATCGAGGGGCAGATTTTTACTGAATCTGCGGTGAAGCAGATTCAGTGCGCTGTGCTGGCCTGCTGTGATAAGAGAGACCCGAGTCAAAAGGAAAAGCTCTCGATTTACAGTTCAATCTAGGTTCCTACTGTACCCTCATCTATGGTTAGGAGCTTTGGGTCATGACCGAAAGAACAAGATCCTGGATAAAAGTGGCAGAAATTAGTTTTCTGCATAGGGTGTAGTGGCTCTCCCTTAGAGATAGGGTGAGGAGCTCAGTCATCCAGGGTGGACTCAGAGAAGATCCTTTGATTATCCACGTTTAGAGGAGCCAGTTGAGGTGGCTTCGGAATCTGGTTGATTGATTGATTGGTTGGTTGGTTGATATGGCCCCGTTTTCCGCCACTGATGTTAAAACAGCGTTATAACATCAACAATGGTGTTAGGTGCAGGTGTTTGCCCTGGAATCGTAGGGTTGTCGGTTTGAGCCCAGGCTCTAACTTTCAGTGTCATTGTGTCCTATGGCCAGGATACTTCACCCGCCTACTGATGGTGGTCAGAGAGCCGGTGGCGTCAGTGCACAGCAGCCTCTCTTCTGTCAGTGAACCCCAGGGCAGCGTGGCTACAATGTAGTTTGTCCCCATCAGTGTGAGTGTGTGCGTTAAATGGGTGAAAGACTGAATGTAGTGTAAAGCGCTTTGGTCAAGTCTTTTGACTTGACTATATAAGTAAAGGCCATTTACCGTAACTTTGAAGCCAAACAAAAATCTGCAAATACAAAAAAGAAAATAAAAGTAAAAAAAAAAAAACTTGAATCTGATAAGTAGTTTTTTTTTGGACACACCTTTATTTTTCAGGTTTAATATTTTTTTAACCAACCTTTTTTCTTAAAAAACTATTTTTTAAGTTTAAAATTATTTTAATTCCTATCACATTTCCTCCTGATTTTTTCTTTTTCTTTTTTGGTTACTGACATCTAAGCATGATGTCTAGCTTTGAAAGATGTTTTGGTCAACTTCATTGTGTTTGTAATTTTTTTATTTGACTACAGGTGTGGCAGTAATCAGACCTGGATGTGGCCAGAGAAAGTGGTGTCATAATTCTCTGTTAAGCATTGTTTCAACATGACGAGCAGTCACTTTTTCACATAAGGCCTTTTAGATTTTTTTTCTGCATTAATTATTAAAACCATTTAAAAACTGCATTTCGTTTGATGTTGTGATGTGCCTAAGTGTGACAAACACGCACAAAAGGAAATAAATCAGAATAGACACTTTTTCATACAACTCTGTAAATATGAGTCAGACAATAAATCAGACTAAAAATCTATTTGATCAATTTCATAAATATGAAGAGAAATAAACCTTTTTTTGTTCACTTTAATTCATTACATTCTTGACTTTCAGGTTCTGAGAAAGTTTCACGTACACTCAGATTTTTTATGCCTTTAGACTCTGAGGTCCTAGATGATCAAATCATACCTTTCCAAAGCATTATCTCACTGATGCTTTTTATTTTTCGGCACACCTTTCTGCTGCAACACTTTTAACAAACTGCTGCCTCATCACATAATGTAAACATAAGAAACCAAATTATATATCAATAACAAAATCCCTCAAGTTTGAATCATACATGGGTATAATTTCTAGACACATTCAATGGGCTCTATGCACAGCTCCACTACTTCCTGAATTTAAAGCAGCTCCTTTGTTTCCTGTCTTTCATGATTGGATGCACTGATTAAACCAGGTGTGTATGACCTAAGTAACTGGCCAGACACACCTGGATTAATCAGTTCGTCCAGTAATGAAAGACAGGAAACAAAGGAGCTGCTTTAAATTCAGGAAGTAGTGGAGCTGTGCATAGAGCCCATTGTACTGCACAAAATCAAATTTATATCGATCTTTGTATACTAGTCATAATAAGGTTAAGGGTTCAGGTTCATTTTAACCTGAATTTGAGGCTGTCTAAAGTTAAAAGGTAGTAAGTAAAGTAGCATTTAACCTAATTCTATTGGTTAAATTAAAAAAAGGTAAACACAGAAAGGTTGACCTGAGTCATCTAGTTAATGAGGCATTTCTAACAAATAGCAAGTCAATGTATACAAACTTCTTGAGAATGTATCAAAAAACTGGTTTAATATCAGAGTGAAAGATTTTTAAATAAGCATCTTCTTTGTCAAAATCTGCAAGAAAAATGAAAGATTGCACCGTAGAAAATGTTAAGGAATCCTGTATTTCAAAAAGGTCACAACTGGCTTTAAACTATTTATATCCATGGGAATTCAACAAATCCGAACCTGTATTTAGTTTTTACTTCCAGAGCCAAATGATAAACTCAATGCTGTATAGTAAACCAGAAGAACAACCTGAAGCAAGTAACATAAAAACTGATTCAGAAAAGCACACCTGCTTGCTTGCAGAACTTAAAACCAAAATGCCTGACAGTAAAACTGTGTTTACTTTATGGTTGGAAAGATTCACCTTTTCTATTAGCTACCAGCTCTGTTTTATTTTCTTTTACAGTTACTGTAAAACTACTTGTACATTCAAATATATTTCTAAATGCTTGAGCTAATTGATTTGGTTTAAGCGAGTTTTAAATGCAAGTACTTATATAATCTCCCTTTTAATGTCTATGTATTTGATTTTATTACCAAGTTATACACATGAGAAAACATTCTGAAGTGGTAAAAATTGGGACGTGGAAGAACCAGAAGTACAATTTTGGACTGATTGGTGTGAAGTTAGGAAGCTGAGGCAGAGGCATTTCTTGCAAGAAATAATGTTCAAATGTATTTAACTTCCTCAGACGGAGAGATAGAGCTCTCTGATTGAAGTATATACATTTATACCTTACAAAATCACACACACACTCTCCCCACAGTGGAACGAACCCACCCCTGCACAAGAAAAAACACTTTAAAATTCAATTTTAGCCAGATAAACACCGAGAACAGGTCACCGCTCACAACATGGAGGCGACTGTGTGAACAAATTCTAATCTCTCATGACTTTCCCTTTACCCTTGTTTAGAGTAGGGATGCATCTGCTTTCTGTCCCCTTACCTTAAACATTACAGCATAGAGGCTGCTACAGGATATCTCTGAACTCACTCATATTCAGGCAGGCACACTCAAAACCTTTCATCTCACAAATAGGCCAAAGAAAAATATGCCTTCACATTAGCATTTCAGTTCTCAACACGTTTGAACTCTCAAAAAGCTAGTTTTCCTTTTAACAGACCCACAAGAATTGCCTGCCTGTTGCTTTCTATTGTTGAAAGTAAGGAGTTAAATATTGACAAGAAATTCTAATTTCTAACAACCGGTGCAAAGATGGAGGAATGTTAACCAATGGCAAAACATGCCACAGGCATGAATACTGCAAACATAAAGTACAAATGCATTGAAAAACATCTGCAATAACAGAAAGAACCCTTACAACCACCCAAGCAAATACCAAGGAAACAATGCTTTCAGTAAAAAACACAAAAGTTTAGAAAAGCTGCTGACGAGCTCCATAAATTGGAAATACGCTAGACCAGTGGAGGGAAGTCGAGGACCAAGTCAGATGGGACATCCAGGCGAATATGTTGTTTGTCTATAACATTAAGAAAAAAAAATAAAATTCGTTTTTTTTTTTTCTCTGACATCTTTTTAATGCCTTTACAGGTGGTTCTTTAGTGGTGGTTCTTTAGCATTTTTCTTTTACATTCGTGTTTTTAGTTGAAGGCTATTGTGCATTTTCTGTAATTGTAATTTCTTTTTATTTGCAACATTTTCTTTTGGTGTTGTTTATGTTGTGTTTTTCATTTATATATTTTATTTTGTATTCTAGTTTGACCTTTAGCTGCTCATTTTCCCTTGTCGGCAACTATACTCTTATATGCCATCAGCATCAGTGGGAAATGTATGTACACTATTTATGCACATAAATGTCTTTTATTTTGATGTACATGAATCATTTGAACCATATTGTTGATAAAATTATGAATTGACCACAACTTCAGTGGTTTTTAAAAAAAACAATATTAAGTGGCACAAATTACAATTTATTGTAATTTATTGTTGTTTATTAAGAACATGCAAACTACAGTGCTACAAACTACACAAATGTGCATCTCTAATTAAAAGGCAAACTCGTAATCGTGACATCTTATCTTGTAATCACAAGATCTTAAGTCATGATTACATGAGCTACCTATGTCTAATTTTATTTTGTTTGGTGAATGCAAAGAGCTTTCATAAATATGAGACCTTTTAAATGGTAATAATCTGAGATCTCTCTATGCTCACAATTAATGTGAGCTACTAGAGAAGCATTTAAAAAACAAACGGTTTGATTCTACAAAACCAGATGTGTGATAATGTCCAACTGCAGTGGAAACTCTGTAAGAAGAGCAGTTTCCTAAATATTAGATAAATAAATACATGAATAAATAAATGCTGCTATTAAAATATTAATACCTACTCTATGACATAAATAAATGTCCCCATGAAGGAACACTAAATATTTTTTTTTAGCTTATTTTAATTCATTTATTTAATTCTGGATTGATTTAGGTATTTCATGATGGAGTTTTACTCATTTTATTTTTGTACACTTACATTTTGTAAAGCTACTTTACATATTTTAGTGATATTTTGTAACCCCGTTTTTTATTTTAAGCTCTTTTTATTTTCCCAGCAAACACGTCCAGGTGGGGCCCATATGGGCTTCACCTGGGCATAGATGGGCTTCAGCTGGACTTGGGCTCAGGGTGGGCTCTGTTGCTGGGACCCATGTGGGCAGCCCATCTACTGCCCACATGAGTCATATGGGCAGTAGATGGGCTAGACCAAGCATGGGCAATAGGTGGGCTCCAGCTGGGCACGGTTTACAAATTCAAAATGGTCAAATCGACATGTTATATAACAACAGCCACTGAAAGGTCTCCTTTTTTATGCTATTTTA